GGTGGCCTGCCTGCCTCATTTAGCTGCCAGGGTGAGGTGGTAGAAATTCTCTCGAATCGTACAACCTGCCTCTGGTGCCCTTCACTAGCTGTGTGACCTACGACAAGTCACTGTAACTCGCTCAGCATTCTTCATCTCAAATAATACCTGCCTATTTCACGGGACCTAATCGAATGTTTATAAAATCCTTATGCAAACCGTAAACCATTCTGAAAACGTAGAGACCACTACTATTTACTATTAATTTTACCTTGGCTGACTTCTAACCAGCCTTCCACTCTTGCTTCACATGTCACTTCCTCAGAGAAGTCTTCCAGGGTGCTTCCAACTAGGTCCTTTCACCCTGATGGGTCCTCTCCCACCACCGTGCACGTTTCTTGTATAGCATTTACAACAGCTTGTAACTATACATTAAGGGATGATTTGATTGTTTTCTCCCAAGAGTATGAGGAATTATTTCATTGTTCTTCCTCGAAACTACAAGGGGAGAACGAGAACTGCCTCTGTTTGCTCGCTCGTGTGTCCAGTGCCCAGCAGTGTCTGGCTCTTCGTAGACGATCAGTAGACGAATGAAGTGTGGTGTTAACGCCCCTCTTCCCTCCAAGCCACCCTGTCCCACCTTGCCCAGCCCAGCGCTTCTGTGTCCCCGAGCGCACCAGCAGGGGGCGCCGCGCCGACCCAGCTCACCTTCGCTGTGCGGCTCCGCGCGCGGGTGGCGGCGCACAAAGCTAGGCGAGCTGTCCGAGGAGGGCGCAGAGCGCGGCGGCGAGCAGGAGGCGGCGGCCAGGCCTTCGTGCGAGGCGGCGTTGTGCAAGGGCCGGTATCGGGTGAGCGGCGAGGGCGGCGGTTCGTCCTCGTCCAGGCTGCGCCGCAACCCGGGAGGATCCAGGCAGAACGAACCCCCGGCAGGGGACCCCGGGCCCGAGTGCAAAGGCGAGCGCAGCCGGTGCAGGGGACTCCCGCAGCCGTCGGTCACCTGCGGGAGGGGACAGCCGTTCACCGCCAACCCTCCTCCCCGCTTCCGGGAGGGATCGGGATCCCGTTTCACCTAATAAACTGCGCAGAAGCCTCTGAGCAGGGAGCCAGGACTCCTGAGCCCTTCAAACCCCAGGCAGAGGAGGGGTGGGAGGTGGGGGTGGGCAGTGAGAGGTGGGAGACAAGAGACTGAGGCTTTCAGTCACATTAGGTTGGGGTTGAATTCAGCCTTTTTCACTTACTGTGTGACCTTGTTACCAAACCTCTCAGAGCCTCAGTTTCCTCATCTGTGAGATGGGGACGATAATCCCCTCTTTGGAAGGATGGACAGAGTTAGAAATGAACACAGCTAATGTTTGTGAGCATTTATGTCAGAAGCCTGGGGTGTCCTTTCCCTGGAAGGCGGTTTGGAGGGGCAAGAAGGGTGGGTGGGGTATGTGATTGGGTAGGTTTCCCCAACCTTGCCTCCGGGCCCATCGGAGCCTTCACCATCCTCTGCAGAGCTGGCACTGTCCCGAAGCCTTGAGCGGGAGGGCCGGTGTCTCCGGCCCTTGGCCAGCAGTTGGGCCCGGGCTTTGTGTAAACTGCTGTCCAGTCTGACCGTTTCTGGTACAGCCAAGTCCAAGTCTGCAAACCAGGCAAAGGGGTCAGAGACCAGACACATGAGGACAGAAAGCCCAGAGGCCTCCTCCAAGTGGCCACCTGCACTCACACCCCAGACATTCAACAAATGTTTCCGAGTGCCAGGCACTAGGAGTACAGATGAGATGGGAAATGGGGTCTCTCATAGTCTGTGGGAGAACCAGACATGTCAGCAGGTAAATGGAGCAGTGTGATGGAACCTCGCACAAGCAGAGGGCAGGACCATCCCCTTTGGATGGGTCAGAGGAGGACACGCCAAAGCTGGGTCTTAAGGTCTGCGTGGGAGTTTATGAGAGGAGGTTGGCAAAACTGGTATATGCAGTGCTGAGAAGAAGGGGAGTAGAGGAAAGGGGGCACCTCCAGGGCAATTGGAGAGTCGATTCGTGGAGGGAAGGGCTGGGGAGTGAGGCTGGAGAGTTCATAGTAACAATGAAGAAGCACCTACTGTGTGCCAGACAGTGTATATGTATCACCTCGCCTACTCAAAACAACCTGGAAAACTAGGGACAGCTATTATGCACATTTTAGAGCTGAGTAAACTGAGGCTCAGAGAGGTTAAGTATCTTGACTAAAGCCACCGGCTAGCAATGGTCTAGGATTTGAGCCTGGCTAGTCTGGCTCCAGAGATTGGCCCTGTTGGGGACACTGGCTTGCTGTGCCATGCTCAGGGTCGCACTCAGAGACAGCAGAGGCAGTGGTAGGGAAGAAAATCCACAGTCCCCCAGAAGCCTCTCTCCTTTCCTGGGGTCCTGGATGAGTCCGTGGAGGAAGAGTGGGCAAACCCAATGGATTGTGCATAAACCCTATTGCCCCTAGTTTCATTTTTCATTTGTTCCACCCAAGAAGGAAGCCCTCACTCTGCAGTGTCTTTCAGTCTCCGAGCTTGGTACTGGGGTCTCCAGGCGGAAGAGGTTCTTCCCAGACTTCAGGATGGGTTAAGACTTTCTCCACTTCACCTGGAATAATCTCAGGAATCCCCATCCCATCACCCATGCCCATTCTGCATTGCTTGCTCCTCTTTCTCTTGTCTGCAGACACCCTCTAAGCCACCCTAGTGACTCTCCTAGTTTTACAACTTCCTATGTCTGTTTCCAGCCCTGACCCCTCCCCCGAATTCTAAGACTGGGCACCTCAGCACCTGCAGGGAAATTGCCACATCAAGGTACCAGGCACCTCAAACTCAATCCATCAAAACAAACCCATCACTTTGCCTCGGACTGACTTTTGCTGTGTTCCCTGGCTCATTAAAAGGCCCCATCATCCACGCAGACAGCCCATTCAGACAGCTCCAAGCTGCCCTGCCCCCCGCCCCCGTACCCCAGACCCAGTTTGTCATTCATGTGTCCAGCTGCCTACTTGACACTTCCATTTGGATATCCATTGGGCATCTTCAACAAACATGTCAAAACTGAACTCCCTATCCCCACACTGCTCCTTCCATTCTGCCCAGCTCAGCAAATAGTAGCTCCATCCTTCCAGCTGCTCAAGGCAAACTCCTAGAGTCATCCCTGATTCCTCTCTT